GAGTTTTGAGACCCAGGCCTGGCCAATGGTGAAACCCCTGTTTCTACTCAAACAATTAAAAACACCAGGGCGTGGTGGCCACGCCTGTATCCAGCTCCTGGGAGGCTGGAGGCAGGCAGAATTGCTTGAAACGTGGGGGAGGTAGATGTTGCAGTGAGCCCCTGAGATCAAGCACTGCTCTTTCAGCCTGGGGCGAACAGAAGCGAGAATTCTGTCTCAAAAAAAAAAGAGTTGCAGCTTGATCTGCACTGGCAGGGAGGAATAAATACTCAACCTTTCTCTTCCTCCCATTCCTCTGATGTCCTATCGGTCTTTATCGGCACCACCCAGTGTGGCTGGACCCAACCGAACAAGGACACCATTATGTGGTCCAAAACGGGCAGGCCCTCCGGGGCACAGAGGGTGGGTGAAGAAGGGTGGAGTGTACTCTGGCACATGCACCACCATATCCCCAGAGTGGGGGTTCCCTGGAGGAGAAACAGAAATATCCAGGACAGACCATAATCTGAGAAAATACAGAACTGTAAATAGAATAATTCTAAAGGGGATTTCTTTTTTCTTTTTTTTTTTTTTTTTTTTTTTTTTGAGGCCAGAAGTCTCGCTCTGTCGCCCCAGGCCTGGGAGTGCCAAGTGGCCGGATCTCAAGCCTCACCTGCAGAAGCTCCGCCTCTCGCGGGTTTACGCCATTCTCCGCCTCCAGCCTCCCGAGTAGCTGGGACTACAGGCGCCCCCGACAGCCCGCAGCGCCCGGCTAGTTTTTGTATTTTATTTATTAGAGATTGGGTTCACCATGTTAGCCAGGATGGTCTCTATATACCAGTTTCTGTGATTTTCTCAGATATGTCTGTCCTGGATATTTTCTGTTTTCTCCTCCAGACCCACTCTGGGAATGGTGGTGCATGGCCAGAGTACACTCCACCCTTCTTCACCCACCTCTGTGCCCCGGAGGCTGCCCTGTTTGGACCACATTAATGGTTCCTTTGTTTCTGGTTGGGCTCAGCCAACTGGTGGTGCCGATAAGACGATAAGACATCAGAGGATGGGAGAAGAGAAAGGTTTGAGTATTTATTTCCTCCCTGCCAGTTGCAGGATCAGCTGCAACTTCTTTTTTTTTTTTGAGACAGAATCTCGCTCTGTCGCCCAGGCTGGAGAGCAGTGGCTTGATCTCAGCTCACTGCAACATCTACCTCCCACGTTCAAGCAATTCTCCTGCCTCAGCCTCCCAGGAAGCTGGGATTACAGGCGTGTGCCACCACGCCTGGCTGATTTTTATATTTTTAGTAGAAACAGGGTTTCACCATTTGGCCAGGCTGGTCTCAAACTCCTGACCTCAAGTGATCTGCCTGCCTCGGCCTCCCAAAGTGCTGGGATTACAGGCATGAGCCACCATGTTTGGCCTCTGAAATCTCTTTTAATCTGGAAGAATCTCCTCCCTGTTTCTTGTGTGCTTTTATTTCATTTTATTTTTAACTTTTTTTTGTTTTGTTTTGTGTTACAGAGACAGGGTCTCCCTGTTTTGCCCAGGTTGGTCTCAAACTCCTGGGCTCAAGGGATCCGTCCGCCTCAGCTTCCCAAAGTGTTGGGATTACAGGCATGAGCCACTGAGCCTGGCCCTGTGTTTGTTTCTGTGTTCATACGGTTGATTTCGGGAGAGAACTGGCTTCGTTGTCCAGTAGAATGTTCTATATTCTGGAATTGGCTGATTTCTTCCTTGTGAGGTCCTTTAATTTATTCCTCTGTCCCCTGTATTTTCTGAAAACTGGGGTTAGACCTAAAGGCTTGATTAGATTCAAATTTGGACATATTTGCTTGTTTTTTTTTTTTTTCCACCCAGGCTGGAGTACAATGGCACCATCTCAGCTCACTGCAACCTCCGCCTCCTGGGTTCAAGCAATTCTCATGCCGCAACCTCCCAAGTTGCTGGGATTACCAGCGGTAATCAGCAGGTGTGTGCCACCATGCCTGGCGGCTGGTGTTTTTTTTTTTTTTAGTAGAGACAGAGTTTCACCATGTTGGCCAGGCTGGTCTCGAATTCCTGACCTCAACTGATCCATCCGCCTCGGCCTCCCAAAGTGCAGGAATTACAGGCCTGAGTCACTGTGCCCAACCAAATTTGGACATATTTTCAAGTGGAGCCATCATAGTTTGCTAACAGAATGGATGTGGGGTGTGAGAGAAAGCTTAGGACTCAGTTTCCTCATTTGTAAAATATTGATAGTAATACCTGCCTACCTACCCTGCTTATTGATAATCTCAAAAGAGGTGCTGATCTGCAGCTGCCACGTGTGCGCGTGGAAGGGACTATACTGGAAGGCAGGCCGAGTCAACAGTCCCGGACCTTGAGCCAGGTGTCCTGGAGACTCTGGGCAATGGAGGCTGGTTGATCCCGGAGGTCCCTCCCAGGCTTGCTGTCCCTCCTGGAGGGTGGTGGCTGGAGGAGGGCTGAGGTGAAACTGTTTTGGAACCAAGGATCTGGGCTGGGGAGCAGAGTTGAGGCCTTGCCTTTCAGGTGAGCAGTTTGCATGAAGGCTAAGTTCATGTACAGATCATGGCCTCATATTTCAGGGCACTCGAGGCTCAAAAGGCCTCTAAGGGAGATAAGAAGAAATGATCAAACTGAGTCTGTTTCTTTTCTTTCTTTTTTTTAAAAAAAATATAAAGATGGGGTCTCATTATATTGCCCAGGCTGGTCTCGAACTCCTGGGCTCAGGCAATCCTCCTGCCTTGGTCTCCCAAAGTGCTTGGCCTGAGCCTGTTTCCATGTGCCTGGCAGGAGGCCTGGGCTGCATTTTGGGGATTGGGAGAGTGTGTGTGGTGGGGGAGCATGGAGCAGTATGGACGCATGAACTTGAGGAAGGAGGTGAGCCTGGCAGGTGTGAGTGAGGGGAGACTGGGCGTGAGTGTGCAGGTATCTGGAGGAACGCAGTGAGAGTGGGCATCTCTGCATGAGAGTAGGCACTGAGTGTATATGAGTGTGCAAGTGTTATGTGGTCTGAGTGTGTCTGCCTGTGTGTGATGTGGGGCTGGAGATGGAGGAGGGGGCAGATGCTTGGCTCTAGTTCTATATGACTGAGGCAAATGTTACAAGTGGTTTGTCCTGGCCAGGTGCAGTGGCTCATGCCTGTAATCCCAGCACCTTGGGAGGCCGAGGCGGGTGGATCACTTGAAGTCAGGAGTTCAAAACCAGCATGGCTAACATGGTGAAACCCCATCTCTACTAAAAAGACAAAAATTAGCAGGGCATGGCAGTACATGCATGTAATCCTAGCTACTTCAGAGGCTGAGGCAGAAGAATCGCTTGAAACTGGGAGGCAGAGGTTGCAGTGAGCTGAGATTGAGTCACTGCACTCCAGTTTGGGGGACAGAGTGAGACTCTGTCTCAAAAAAAAAAAAAAAGTATTTTGTCCTTTGAGAGCCATTTTTGGCTTTGATAAGGGACATTAGGAGGAGGAGCCTGGCCCAGATACCCAGAGTGGAGCTGAGGCTGGATGCTGATGCAGGCCCCCAACTCTGCTTACACCTGCCTTGCTGTGGGACCCTGGTCCTGTCGGGACCTCAGTTTCCCTCTCTGTGTAGGAGGTTGTTGGGTCGGCTGATGTATCTGAGAGACTTGCTTCTTTAGACAGGGTCCATCCCAGTGCCTGGTGCCTGGGGGTGCTCAGATGGTGCTTGTTGGTTGGTTGAAGGAATGAGTGGGTAAATGGACTGGAAACCGAGGCAGAGACTCTGGCTCACCTCTCACTTAGGCACATGGGATGCCCCCACCGGCTCACTTTCACACATACCCCCACACCCACACTCACACATTCATGTGTGTTCACCCTCGATTGCCCACCCCTCTTCACCCACACGCTCCCACGAACTCACACGCTGCCCAACCCAGGCTCAAGGTCTCAGGGAGCTTCCACGCCCACCCCCACAGCTCTGTTCCCATGGGGTTTCTGGGCTCAATGCTTCTTGGTCTCCAGGGATGCCCTGCCCAGTCATGCCGCTGACCACAGTGACTCTTCTGAGCTCCTCTCTTCTCCCTCCACTTCATATCCCAGTGGGCATTCTCTTTCCTCCACTCCCTTTCTTTTATTTTCTCTCTCACTCCCATCCAGAGACACACAGACCCAAATGCGCACTGGCACATGCTCGCCGCCTGTGTCTCCTCATCTCGTCTTTTGTCTTGGATCTTCCCTTGTCTTTGTGCCTGAGTCTCCTTGTTCCTCTCATCTCTCCTGGTGTTTACATCTGTCTTTTTCCCTGAGCCTCACTCCCTCCATCCATTCCTCCGCCCTCTCATTTTTTTCCCTGACTCCCTCCCCCCTCCTCCCTTTCTCCTTTGATTTTCCTGGTCCCTCATCTCTCCTCTCTCCTCTTCCTCACTCTCATGCTCCCTTTCTCGCTCTCTTGAGTGCATGCACTTGCTTTCTCTCTCTTGCTTTTCCTCTTTCTCACCTCAGCTCCCTGGCCTTGGGAGCTGCCTACAGTCGGCGTCCCTCGCTCTTTACGAGAAGCCTCTGTGCAGTGCCCAGGTCCTGGCGGCCCAGCTTGGAAGTTCCTGTGGCACCCCTTGAGAGGCCCTAGGCCATAGCATTTCCTCCCAGGGGTGACTTGGTAGTGATACGCTGTTTCCTCACTTCTGCAATTGCCAGACAGCACAGAGGCTGAAGCTGGGGCCAGGATCCAGACAGAGACACACAGTTCCCGCAGCTGAAGCCGCTGCCCCTGCTACAGGTAAGGGGGACTCCTGGCCCCTGCTGGGCAAGGGGGAGGCATAGAAAAATATCCTAAGGAGGCAAACCAAGGTCATGCCCCCAGGCTGCGCCTAAGCAGATGGGCGCTTCTATTTTTCTTTTCTTTTCTTTTCTTTTCTTTTCTTTTCACAGGGTCTCTCACTCTGTTGCCCAGGCAAAAGTGCAGTGGCGTGATCACGGCTCGCTGCAGCCTGGACCTGCCAGGCTCAGGTGATCCTCCCACTTCAGCCTCCCGAGTATCTGGGACTACAGGCGTGCTCTACCATGCCTGGCTAATTTTTGTATTTTCTTGTGGAGACAAGGTCTTACCTTGTTGTCCAGACTAGTCTCCAACTCCTGGACTCAAGCAATCAGCCTGCCTTGGCCTCCCAAAGTGCTGGGATTGTAGGCGTGAGTCACTGTGCTCGGCTGCTTCTGTTTTTAAGGGATTGTTCTGGCACCTTTCTCAGGCCCAGAGTCTCATGTTTAGAAATAACTTCTAGTGTCCAAACATTCCTGGAGAACCCAACACCCAAGTTTGGCTTTTCCGAGGCTGGGACAGTGCTGACCCAGAGACCCCACTGGGAGGTGGCGATGGTGGTGATGGGGGCAGCTTGGATCTCAGGGAGCGAAATGACATCTACTTGACTAGCTGTGTGGTCTTGGCCAAGTTACGCTCCATCTCTGTGCAGTTTTCTAAATTGTCAAATAAGGATAATGCCATCTCCCCCACAGAACTGTCGGGACATACAAAGGATCTACTACAGGGCGGGGTACTTAGGAACTCACTAAATGCTAGGTTTGCGGGGTGGGGAAGGGGGTGCTGAAAATAACCATGTTCTTATACACAGGGCCAAGCCCACAACCAATGGCCCCTATCAGGTCCCAGGTGCTAGGGACAGGGCCCAGGCTGGCACCCGCCGTCCTCCGCTGGCAGGAGGTCCCGACGTGGGGCTGTGTACTCGCTTACTTGTGAAATATGACAGAACCAGCAGGCTCTCTCCCCACACCTCCGGCTGCTCTCCTTTAGCTCTGACTGAATACCCAGCTGTGTTCAGGTGTTTGGGGCGGGGTGTGTGTGTGTGTTAGGGGAGGCGGTAGGGGTGGGAGGTGTGTTGGGGAATGCTAGGGAAGCAAAAGAGACACCACTATCTTTAGGTCCTGACAAACCAGCCAGAGAAAGAGGTCAGCCCCTTAGATGACTGGGTCCTGGGCCTGAAGTGGGCATCCGGGGTTTCCATCTCAGCTCCTGCTGACAAGCTGGGGCATTGAGTCGTTCAGAAGTGGCACTTTCCTCCTTCGCAGATTGCAGGTTAAAATACTGACCTCTGTGGGCCGGGCGTGGTGGCTCACGCCTGTAATCCCAGCACTTTAGGAGGCTGAGGCTGGCAGATCACGAGGTCAAGAGATGGAGACCATCCTGGCCAACATGGTGAAACCCCATCTCTACTAAAAATACAAAAATTAGCTGGGCGTGGTGGCAGGTGCCTATAATCCCAGCTACTCGGGAGGCTGAGGCAGGAGAATTGCTTGAACCTGGGAGGCGGAGGTTGCAGTGAGCTGAGATGGTGCCACTGCACTCCAGGCTGGGTGACAGAGCGAGACTCCGTCTCAAAAAACAAAACAAAACAAAACAAAATACTGACCTGTGAGTTTGAGGGGAGGATAAGTAAGAGGTGGAGTGGGGAAGTGCTCTGTCAATTGGAAAATGCTGTACAAAGGGGACCGATGCATTCCCTCTAATGCTGACTCTGTGATGCCTGCTGTAAACGCCTTACGGATGAGGAACCTGTTTTGTTCACTGTTGTATCCTTTATCCTTAGCACAGGGTTTGCAACATAGCATATGCTTAGAATACGCACAGGACAGATGAATGACGAAGCGGTTTTTGCAGTTGGGAGGGAATGGACGGTGAACCAGAGGTCCAGTATCTGGTCCCAGCTCTGCCCCCGACACTGTGTTCACCTTGGGAAAATCCCTTCTCATCTCTGGGCCTCAGTTTCCCCATCTGGTCATTGAAGGAGTAAGGAATTCACAGTTTATGTTATCAGTGACAAAATGCGCCTACAGGACTGAGTTTTCTCTGATTGGTGGTGGGAAGCAGGTATGAGGAGAGGTTGGGATCTTGTTGTTCTTTTACAGGGATCCCCTTCCCACCCCAGGCCTATAAAGGAGGCCTTGTTGAAGAGGACGGCATTCTCTTTCTTGGTGGCATCCCCCACTTTCCTGTTCTGATCCCCTAGGTGGGTAGAGGCTTGGGCCTCTGAGGGCAACAGTGGAGCAGGAGCCTGGTAGCACCCCTTGACGGGCCTAGAGGTGTGTGTCTGGGGCAGGAGTGGAGCCAGCTCCCGAAGGGCAAATGCTGGGACCCTGCTGCAGCCCCCTCTCTGACCAGCCCCTCTTGGGTTCTTTGACAGCATGATGAGAGCGGGGAGAAGCCTCTGGTGTGTCTTTGTGTGTGCATGTGTGTCTGTGGTTATGTGGGGTGTCTGACTATGTCTGCGTGTATTTGGAATGATGGGCCGGGAGCATAGCCAGGCTGCATGTGGCCTGCTCCAGCCAGACAGCTCCCCTCCCAGGAGCAGATGGCCCACAAAGCCAGCTGAGAGGCTGATATGCCTCTGTGTGTCTTCAGCCGAGGGGACTCACAGCCAGATTCTGTGTGTGTATTTGTTTGTGTTTGTGTGTGAGAGAGAGAGACAGAATATGCAGGGGAGGATCACCACTCAGCCGCCCCTCCCCACTCCCTTGGTTCTGCAGGAGGGGGATCATCAGGGCCTGGGTTTGGCGTTGAGCCCGACTGGCTAACGGGAGAAGCACGTCAAAATCAAATTTGTGCATACCCTGCACCACCCACCCCGCCCCGCTTTTTTTTTTCTTTTGAGACAAGGTCTTGCTCTGTCATGAAGGCTGGAGTGCAGTAGCATGATCACAGCTCACTGCAGCCTCGATCTCCTGGGCTCAAGCAATCCTCCCACCTCAGTCTCTCAAGTAGCTGGTACCATAGGTGCACACCATCTTGCCTGGCTAAGGTTTGTGGGTTTTTTTTTTTTTTTTGGTAGAGGTAGGGTTTGACATGATGCCCAGGCTGGTCTTGAACTCCTATGCTCAAGCAATCTGCCTGCCTTGGCCTCCCAAAGTGCTGGGACTACAGGTGTAAGCCACCATGCCTGGCCCTCCCCACCCCCCCCTTTTGTTTTTTAAGAGACACAGTCTTGCTCTGTCACCCAGGCTGAAGAGCAGTGGCATGATCATGACTCACTACAGCCTTGAACTTCTGGTCTCAAGCCATCCTCCTGCTTTAGCTGCCCAAGTAGCCAGGACTACAGGCGCATGCCACCATGACTGGCTAATTTAAAAAACAATTTTTTTTTTTTTTTTGTGGAAACGGGATCTTGCTATGTTTCCCAGGCTGGTCTTGAACTTCTGGCCTCAAGCCATCTCCCACCTTGGCTTCCCAAAGTGCTGGGATTACAGGCGTGAGCCACTGCACCCAGCCTACATTACCTTTTACAGTTCATAAAGTCCATTTCAATGTATCAAGTGCTTTACTGTTTACCAAAAACTGTCACTACCAATAATCTCACTTCCTTTTTTTTTTACAACAATGCTTTGAGATAAGCAAGGCACAGACACCGCATTTTGCAGATAAAAACCCAAGGCTCAGAGCTGGAATGAGGCTCACTCAAGTTATGTGGGTGATTGGCACAGCTGAGGCCAGAGCCCACATCCCCTGGTTTCGGTTCCTATGCTTTCTCTGGCTAACCTCGATTGCTTCTAGGAGACAATGTGTAGCTGGCTTGGTGCATGGCCAATTCGGTTGCTTCTTTATTCACTTATTCAACAAACATTTTCTGAGGACAGCAGAGAAGGGAGTTCACAGTTACTGAGTAAATTGCTTCACTCTGCTCTCACAATCACCCTGTGAGGAAGGTTTTATTACCATCATTTTGCAGATGAAGAAAGGGAGGCTGGGAGAGCCAAGGATCACATAGCAAGGAAAAGCAGACCCAGGTGCAGACTCAGGTCTGTGTGACTCCAGGGCCTGTGCCCAGCCCTGCTTTTCTCCCCAGACGGGGTCCTGGACTGGCCACGAGGACACCAGCAGGACTCAGGAACTCCTAGGCTGGGAAGAAGTCAGCGTGATTCCTGGTATAACAGAGGCATGGCCAGGTGCGGTGGCTCATGCCTGTAATCCAGCACTTTGGGATGTCGAGGTGGGCGGATCACCTGAGGTCAGAAGTTCGAGACCAGCTTGGCCAATATGGTGAAACCCTATCTCTACTAAAAATATAAAAATTAGCCAGGCATGGTGGCGTGCGCTTGTAATCCCAGCTACTTGGAAGGCTGAGACACGAGGATCGCTTGAATCTGGGAGGCGGAGGTTGCAGTAAGCTGAGATTGCGTCATTGCACTCCAACCTGGGTGACAGAGTGAGACTCGGTCTCAAAAACAACCCACCCACACACAAATAAAAACCAGAGGCATAACAGAGGCATGATGTGCCCAGTGCTGGGGCAGCCCAGAGGAGGTGGTTCCTCCCTCCCTCTTCCTGGCCCTGGCCCTGTCCTGGAAGCAAAATTGGGTAGGGTAACTCAGACAGATACCACCTGGGTATCTAGGAGCCAGGAGGAGAGACCCAGGCCAGACTTGGGGTTTCCTAGGCCAGCTGAGCAGAGGCTGAATCTCATCAATGTTATATACATATCTGGGGCCAGGGTGAGGTCCCCAGTGAGAAGGAACACTGGGTAACTCTGACTGGCACCCAGATCATCATCATCCCGGGTGCCCTAGACCCTGTCCTTAACCTCTCCCAGACAGGGTGCTCCATTCATCAGCCAATAAATGTGCATGGTCCCTTGCACTGGGAATTGTGGGAGCCTGGCACAGAATTCCCCAGAGGTCAGGATTTCTGCTCCCTTAATTCATCCCTCAAATCCTTCTGCATCTTGGAGAAATGGTATTGAAACCACTCTGTGAGAGGTCTCATTAGAGGCTGTG